ACTTTTCATATCATTATTGATTATACCTTTTCAAATGTAAACATTTGAGCTGTACTGTTGCGCCAACAACATGTACACGTCAATAAATATATTCACTCCTTAATATCTCCTAAAATCGGGTAGTAATTCTTTTTGTTATTCTATAACCATATTTCAGGAGTCATTAACGCCAATTATTTATTTATACATTTGTAAAAACCGTTATATTATAAATTTACAGTAAGAATCAAACAAATGTGCCATAAAGCAATAAGCATCATATTTTGTAGCCTAATTTCACTTATTCCATGAAACGCATAATATGTGTAACAAAATGTTTTAATTTATAAGTTTGTATTATTCAATATGTCGACAATTCACAGTGAATCATGGGATCATTATACATAAAATTTTCCACAACAGAATAAAATCCCTTGTCACTATATTCCTTTTTTTTTTAACATGTAGTAAATAAACTTTTAAGGATTAACATTTTATTATACACATAAAATAAATACTTGTGAAAAATATTTCGAAAAAGGAAGAAAAAAATAACATTTTGCTCCCATAGTATACAAAATGGTTTCAAAAGGGTTTTTTTTTTCAAAAAAAATATTTTTTTTTGGAAAATCGCGATGCGACAAAATCCATTATATATTGTAATTAAAAAAGATGGCTTAATTTGCTGTGTTTTTATAAATACACCTTGAAATTTACTTTTTCTATATGTTTCATTTATATTTTTTTTAAAATATAAAAAGGATGTTCACACCTTTTATTAATATTCCGTTGAAATGGAACATGTACAATTATTATGTTTGTTAAACATTAAAACACAAAAATCATCGATTTTTTTGATAGTCTTAGCTTCTGAGTGTAAAAATTAGCATACTTTTCACAACTTTTTTAAGAAATAAATTTTTGCCATAATAAATACTCATGTGAAATAGTGTGTTGTTTCCATTAAGTAAATGTGTGTGTAAAAGCTGAATTATTATATCACTTATTAATTGTATTTTTTACATATATAATATAAAAAACAATTAAGTTTTTCATATAAGCATAAAAAAATACGCTCATTATGTAAGTACAATATGTTATTATCATATTCCATAACATATATGTATTTGTGCCTTCATTTAATTTTTTATAGCAATATTACCGCAACATCGCTTGATACTCTTTTCTCATTCTATATTAAAATATATGCTATAGTTATAACTATTATAAAAATGATAAAATAGCTGTGGAATCATAATAATTTCGGTGAAAAGGAGCTTTAATGCAGATTTTACAGAATTCTGATATTTCCCCAACACAGCGTGAATGTAACATATTAAGATGGTTTCGTGCCATTAAATATTATATGAGAAACTGTATTTTTGTCAAATTTTTTCTGAAAATTATGTTATACGCTAATTAACATATTTTCGAAAAGTAGAATACAAATCATAACATTCGTTTTGGCAATGCAAATTATATTAAGTTAATTTTAGACGGGAAAACTAAATTTTAATTTGCATTACAAAGAGTATGAAAAATTATTGCATCTCATTTTATAAAGAAATAAATGAACATAATTATAATTAAAACTGTTTGTTTAAAGTAACCATATGTCACATTGTAAATGATCATTTATCCCTTCTAGATTAAAATGAATGCGAAAGCATTATAAATTTATGACATGCATAAAAGGATCATAGTATCATATAATGACTATACATATATATATAATAACCATAACACAGAATATCCTTAAAAAAACACCTATGAAATTGAACAACCTTTTTTGCATTATCAGAACTAACAAAATGTTTTTATTATAACACATACAATAATATAAAAAAAAAGGATCTATATATTTATCTAAATGAATAATGGATATGTACGAAAACTATAATGGTGAAGTATTAATAATATAATGAAAATTTATTAGGCATAAATCAAAAATAAAACATTTATGAATGGTTATTACTCCTGCACAGAATTAACCTATTAAAATATAATTAATAACTCTCTTTTGAGTGAATAATTATATACAATGTACTCATATAACAAGATATAGAGACCAAAAGGAAAAGTGCTATTAGCGATAGATCCAAAGAAAGAGTAATAAAATCGATGGGTTCAAATAACAATTTATTATACAAGTGGAAATGCAAATAAATCACATTTTTAAGGATGATCTAAGTATAAAATATGCTGTCTTGTATAATCTTTTCAATTTTTTATAAATAATATATGTTATTATACCTACTACCATTTAATTATAATACAACGAAATAGTGCTAAATTTAATGGGGTAATATGAAGTAATTTTTAAATGAGAACATAAAAAAAATAATACTTTGTTTTATTCAACAACGAAATTATATACATAATTAATTATACATATATATATAAGTATATTGTATTTATTTATATTCTACAACTGTCACTACTACTTAAATGTTAAAAATTTTACATGTGGTATAAAAAGGTTAATGCATCTCTAGTTTACAAGCTATAATTGTTGTAATTTCTTTTAAGTGACAAAAGATTAATTTAATTATAAATAATTTTAGTAATAATAAAACAAACATACATACAATCTATCTATAGTAAATTCTATATCTTTATACAAACCATCATAAAATTAATAATATAGCACCACAGTATTAATGAAACTAATCCATAAGCACACTGAATTTTTTTTTGACATCCCAATACAAATGCACTTTTTATTAATAGCATTATTTATTATAAATCTATTTTACCATAACCGAAACATAAAAAATAATAGAAGCGAATATATATAACATTAAATGTAAACCCTGTTCTACTATTGTCATAAAAGACATACACATATATACATAAATAACAATTAGTAGTACGAGTCTTAAAACATTTGTTAATATCACCTAAAACCTCTCAGTATTTATTATTTTATTTTTTTCCTTGTATTATACATAAACCTTATATGTTTAAGTATACTTTGCATCACTTAATTTTTATGCCTCATATTTCAAAATATAGGAACTTATATTATCACTATGCATAAAAATATAACAAATTCCTTAAGCTGATTCTGCAAGTATAATTTTTTCAAAGTTGTCCAAAAGAATATTTATACGTTAAAATATTATTGTGTCAAAAGATGAAGAATTTAATTTCAAAACACCCTAAAGGTGTATTAAACATAATAACTTATACATCCACAAAATTATTGATATAATGTTATGACATTAAATATACTAAATCATCGTTTCAAAGCTTTTATATCCATATAATAAATTTTACTTTTCCATATTATCTAGTTAAACCAATAAAAAGGATTCATAAATAAAAAAAAAAAAATAATATATTTATAATTGCTACTATATCTGTTCGCATCTCTCTTAATATCTAATATCATAAGTTTCAGTAATAAACTCATAATTTTTTACATTATTTAGTTGAATCTGAGCATAATATTGAAAAGAATTATGGAAATACGCGCAATGAACAAAAAAAAACAAAATAATAAAAATAAAAAAAGAATAATTAAAAAAATGTTTTAAAAATAATATATACCAGATGCTTTGAATAAAGAGAAATAATGAATAAAATTCCTAAAAAATGTGACATTTATATGCCGTAGCAATAACGCATCTCATGATAAAAATAATGCAGAAATAGCATTTGAAATATATGAATACGATGAAAAATATAATATGTGTGAAAAATAATTCTCAGCGATAGAATAATCTTAAATATATTCTGTATTAGCCCCCAAAATATATAAATCTATAGGTTCTGAAAGTATGTAATTCAAAATTCTTTTGATGAAAAAATGTTAGGCTAAAAAAGAAAAAATTCACAAGATCTTTAGTGTGTATATATAATTGCTAATACTATTTTTATCAGAGACAAAATACCTAAAGATGTAGCTTACTGACCGATAATACACATGTGCATATGGTGACATCAACATAATTTTTATCTCTCTCTTATTATAAATCCAAAATAAAAACACGAATACTAACTTAAAATATTTACATTCAAGCAAAGCTATAAACAGGAATTTAAAAGTGTTATAAATAACAATTATTTTATTTATATTAATATACATTCTAAAATAACATACTTGATAATGAATAGAATGGAATGCTAACAGAAAATTTTAAACATACATCGTAGTTAACAAAATTATGATATACAACACTCAAATTATCTATATTTACATAGATAAAACCATGAAAGTTCAAAACTATGTAAATATAAATTAATTAGAAATAGTTAATCAAAAAAAAATACCAATACAAGTAAAACAATATTATATATACTAGCTGCTTCCGCAAATAATTATTTGTCACATATATAAAGAAATGGATCCTACTATTTTCCTATAAATAACCCCAAAACTCATCATCTAAATTATAGTGATAAATATGATAAAAAGTGTTCTCTAATTGTAAAAGCTTAATAATGTGTATTTTAATAATGATAATACTAAATAAAAAAATTCTATGTGTGATAATACTATATAGAATAATAAAATATGAAACTACTCATAAATTCAAAATGTCATAACTAAACCTTGAAACCAAAACGATATACACTTAGTTTCATATTAATTATATCGTACTATAATTTGTAATTTAAAAAACAATCATTTAACCGTAAAAATTTATAAAATTAACATTTTTTTTTTTAATAAAAATTAATAGATAATTTATATAATTTCTGGATATCAACATAATATTAATAATATTTATTAAAAAAGGATATAATTTTTACTGAATATAATATATTCATATTTCACATATTCTCCTTGTAATAAATAAAAAATTATATTTTATATCAAAAAAAAGATTAATATAATATTATGTGTAAAAATGTTCATTAACAAGAAATTTGAAAATAACTATAAATTTATTATATAAATATAATAAATCATAAAATACATTTTTCTTTATACTGTGGATCTTTATTTTAAAAATAAATATTAACTATTTTCGTAAACATCACACCTTCATTTAGTTTACATGAAATCACATATAATGGAAGCCAAATATGATCTAGAAGATGTCTGTATAAATTATTATAATATAAATTATTACAATTAAATATTACTATTGTTCATTATCAAAAAATATAATAGAACTATTCACAACATAATACATTTTTTTTTCATGGAATTATTTTATTCGTCTTAATAGTATCCTCTTGTAACGGAATTTGCCAAATATAAGCAATATATAGATGGTTCCCTTATACATAATACTCCTCATACTAATAAATATAATTGTAAGAATCTACATTATCATAATATAAAAAAATATGAAAATGAAATTAAGGAACAATGTGAGAACATTATGTTTTTTTTGGGAAAAATTCATAATGATAAAACGAATAAATATTTTGTAATTCCTGCATTAAAATATTTTTATTATTGGATATATGAAAAAATTCTTGATTTTAAAGATATCGATAAAGTGGAAACAATTTATTATAGATTGTACAGTGAGTTCAAAAGATTTCGGAAAGAACAAGATATACCCGATATAAACGCAGGTATTATGACTCAAAAACGTTTGGAAGATATTACACTTTTATATAAAATGTATAAATGTTTTAATGATTTGAATGATAGACAAGAAACGGATGAAGAAAAACAATTTTGTGAAGTACTAAATATATTTATAAACAACAATAAACCAGAAAAGCAAGAATATCCTATGCATTATTGGTATGCAGCCCAAAAAGGAAGCTCATGCCCACCAGAAAAACCATGCAAATGCGTAATTTCACGCCCTGTAATAGTAGCATTCTTCGTATCCATAATAATGTCTCTTTTTCTGTTTTATGTTCTTAAGGTTAACTATGATGTATTTTTTTATTAGTTTATCATATACGTTTCTTATAATAATTTAAAAAAAATAAGCTTTAATATAAAATAAAAATATTTTTCTATGAATACATTCTTTTTATTATGTGTTAGTACACCTCATATGGTTCAAAATTAATCGCTAGGGAAAAAAATAAAAGATACAATCGAGATTATATTTATAAAGAAGAATGGGACACGTCTGAAACACCTGAAATGTACTATAGTACATCTGAAGCACCTGAAATGTACTACAGTACATCTGAAGCACCTGAAATGTACTACAGTACGTCTGAAGCACCAGAAATGTATGACAGTACGTCTGAAGCACCAGAAATGTACTACAGTACTTATGAAACACCTGAAATGTTCTACAATACGTATGACGATTTCAGAGGTCGTATAATATATAATTCTTACTAATATTCGCACAAAATACATAATTCAAAATAAAAAAATTCTTTAAATATCCTATGCGAATAAGCATTCAAATTACGTAGAGAATTATACTTTCAATAACCTCATCTAATAACGAAGTAAAAAATATAGTGTAATTATATAAATATTTTTATTCTCTAAGATAGCAATACAAATAAAATTAAATAATGATACTCAAAATATTATTTTCCAATAACACAATTAGTGAATAAATATAATATTGTTAAATTGCTTCGTTCCTCTAATATAATAGATTTTTTTTTAATATGACATTCTTTTGTAATAAAAACCCATATAACTTAAAATAAATGATGTCTTATATAAACATAATAAAATTAAAACATAACAAAATTATAAACTGGTATAATTATAGAGTATACTTTTATAAATCATTTGTATACAAGCTGTACTATTTTATTGTATAATATTATTAAATGTTTCATGCAAATTTAACTTAAAAAAAAGATAATTGATATTTGTACAGTTCATTATAGTTTTCATGATTTGCGTTTTTATAAAAGTTGTTTTATTATCCCATTTTTATTTTATTAATTAATAGTATTTCATTACATGTATGTGTCATGATTGCACTGAAAAACTCATATTTCAATAGGTAATTTATTTTCTTATTTTTTTTTTTGTTTCATTCTATTTAGTTCTTTTAATCTAAAATTACGTTTTATTTTTTTCTGTATTTAATAATAATTAAAATTATTAATTTAATATAATGCTCACTTAAATATGAATATTGACGCTTGCAGTTTAAAATGAATTAAAAAAAATTATATATATTAATATACCACATAGATGCATAATATCACGTACTCAAATGAAAAAAAAAACTTAATTTGCTTGATGCATACAATCATACCTTGAGGTTTACTTTTTGTAAATATTTCTTTTATTTTTTATTCAAATAATCATGAAAAGTTGTAAACATATTTTATTTAAGAAAACAATTAATTATTACATATCTTTTATTAACGTTCTTTTGAAATATATAACATGCACAATTGTTATGTTCATTAAACAATAAAATACAACAATCATAGGTCGTTTTAATTTGTTTATCGTCATGAATTTACAACATAGCTTATATTAAACAAATTCTTTTTAGAAATAAATTATCGGAACAATGAATTCTTATATGAAAGAAAGTACTGCTTTCATTATGTATCAGCTAAACTATTACTACGAATCAATTGTGTTCTTCATATATATATTGTGAAGAACATTTATGTTGTTCATATAAGCATAAACAAATTCCCTCACTGTGTAAGCACATTATGCTATTCAAATATTACATAACATATATGTATTTGTGCGTTCATTTAATTTTTTATAATAATCATGCCGAGGTATCATCTGTTTTTTTATAATCCTATCACAATTTGTATGCTATAGTAATAACTATTACAAAAATGATAAAATAACTGCGGAATCATAATAATTTCGGTGAACAAGAGCTTTAATGCACATTTTACATAATTCAGTTATTTCCCAACACAACGTGAATGTAACACATCAAGATGTTTCGTGCCATTAAATATTGTATGGGAAACTGTATTTTTGCCAAATTTTTTCTGAAAATTATGTTATATTAATTAACATTTTTCAGAAAATTACAATACAATTCATAAAAAATTTTTTGGTACGGTGAATCTTTTTTAAATACTTTTAGTCAGAAACCTAGAATTTTTATCACATTACAAAGAATATCAATAATCATTGTATCTCAAAGAAAAATAAATTAAGGTAAGGTGTTTGTAAATGAAACACTTTATTTAAAATAAGTCTGTAATATAATGATTATATTAAATTTTCCCTTTTAAATTAAAATGAATGAGAAACATTACAAGTTTATGTAGTGTATAAAAGGGTCATAACATCATAAAATTATTATATATATATATATATATATGTAATAACCATAATGTGGAAAACTCTTAAAAAGGCACCTATAAAATTGAAAAATCCTTTTTTTTACATTATCTAAGCTAGCAAAATGGATTTGTTATAACACATATAAGCAATAAGAATAAAAAAAATACATTTATTTCTCTATATAAATAATGGAAAAATAAAAAAACTGAAATAGTGGATTATTAACAATGTACTGTAATTAATTAAAGAGGAATTAAGATTAAAACCTTAAGAAATAGTTATGGTTTCTTTACACAGTTAACCTATTAAAAGTAAAATAATAAATTTCGTTTGAGCGAATTCTTATATATAAAAGTTACATATATATCATATAGCATCTAAGAGGAAAAGTAATAATGCTATTAACAGTACAACCAATGAATGAATAATAAAATAATTTGAAATAAATAAAATATAATTTTACAACTATAAATAATAAATAAAACATTTTAAAGGATTTTCTAACTGTAGCATATGTTGTTTGTATAAGCATTTTACACTTCTGTAACCATACTATATTATTATTTATATCTAATTAACATTAAGACAACGAAAAAGCGATTAGTTGAAATGGGTAATATGCTGATTCAACACAAGATAATACGAAAAGAAATCATATGCTATTTTGATGGACAACAAAATTACATAATTAATTTTACACATATGTGTTATAAGTATGCTGTGTTTTTATATTCGTCAAATCCCCATTATATCAATTAAATAATAGCAAATTCATGCAAGCAGTAAGGTGGATAATAAACCATAATTTTTCAGGCAAAAGTTCAATGTGTTCCAATAAAGAGTGCAAAAAATTAGAAAATATTTTTGTCTATTTAATTGAACGCAAATGTTTCCAAGGAAATTTTAAAATAATATAATAACATGATATGAACTCATTTGTGTATTATTATTCTCTATCACACATGTGTCTAGTATTTATTTGATATTTTCACATTGTTAATCCAATAAAAAATTTCAGCATGTATTTGTTTTATCAGTTATTTATTATATAAAAGGTTTATTTGACATTATTCACATTTTAATAATTTAAAATTTTATTAAATAAAAATATTGGTTCAAAAAAAAAATATGATATCAACATGTAGTAATTTATTATACACAAATTATGGAAACGCCTCCAAAATTTTCATAAGTATATATATAAAAAATAAAAACAAAAATAATTAATTTCCAAGATTTACAGATCATAAATTATTTATAGCATTAATTAGACATATGCAACACAAGTTGTTTTTACAAATATAAAATAAACCAGCGTATAACTAATTTATTATTTATTTCATATTTTTATACACTTCAATATAAAATTCAAATATATATAACCCTAACAATAATAAAAAATATGTATAAGAACACAAAATTTTCATTGACATCTACATGGAATTGAACTGCGTTTTGCTAATAACAAGTTATAGAATAGAACTTATATAACTGAGCCGAGAAATGAAAGAATGACAAAGGCAAATACGCATTGTCTAAAATATATGTTTGTCTTACCATTGAAAGAAAAATAATAGATAAAAATATTTTTATATAATAAGTTACAGAATAAGCTATATATTATTTATTTATGTGTAGATCAAATAAAAATTGTATTACCGTCAATATTGCACTATCATTAAATTTGTAAACCTCCCATTTAGTTATATTGTTACTTCTGTTATCTTCATCTATTGCTTAAAAATGACACGAATTCATTATATATATTTTTTCAAATTCATTTATTTTACAATTATGATTAAAATATTATTGAATGTTCAAATATTATTAGTTCCAAATATTCATATATAATGTTTTAAAGTATCCTAATGATATGTTAAAACATATTTATTTATAATATTTCTGAATATTATAATTTCTACTTACCCAAATAATTATAATATAGTAGAGTAATCATAAAACATTAAGTTTCCTTTAGAAAATGTTTCTATATATATATACAAAACTTATTTTCCCACATTATTTATTTAAACGAAGAACGAAAAGGATCTATAATAAAAAATAATGAATAGAGAACGACTACAGTGAAATATATTGCTTTTAATAGTAGCCATGAGAAGAGACATGATGAATGCATAGATATAAATATTAAATATACAAATGAAATTAAGGAACAAGTTGAAATTTTTGAAAGAAATATTTATACAGATTATTGCAATGAATGGGAACAATTATGTAAAGTTATAAAAGAGCTAAAAGAACAGATAAAAGAATGCCTTAGTAAAGGACATATAAAATTTCAAATAAATGAAGAACAAAAAATAAATAAATTTACTGTAAAATATGCTGATAAATCCGATTATGTTTTAAAAACAAGGTCTCTTGAAGAAAATGGCACTAAATTAACATCAAACACAATAAATCCTCGAGCTAATAAAAAGGAACTGTTTGATAATAAGTCTGAGTCAGGTAAAAAGGAAAATATTTTACAATATCAAAAAGATGTAAAATCTCCTTCTAGATCATTTGATACAGAGGTTACAGATAATGGATCATTAGATAATAGTGTGTCTAATGCACATGTACAGCTAAGTTCTTCTTCAGAAACTAGAACTGACGCAGATGATTCAACAAGTAAAACATTAGACACCCATGCAAGTGAAGTTCCTTCACATTCAACCTCTACTGAAGAATCTGTATCGCAGTCTAAATTGAAAGTAAAGGATGTATCTGAAAGTTCTGTTAATAATCAATTACCAGATTCTTAACGTGGTGTTGCAAAAACGCTTGAAATCAAAGAATCTACAGGACAAGGATTGGCAACACAAAATGATGATCATGTCTCTCATTCTGATAAATATATTGATTCTGGACAGAGTACTAGTGACATTCTTGTTCTTATGACCCATGATAATGCCGATTCTATGAGTGTAAACCCAGAGAGTTCAGTCACACGTCATATAGGTACAGATGATTCAAGCGATAGAAGTTTATCCCAAAGAGATTCAACAAATAATCACAGAGATACTGAGAATTTAAATAATAGTCAAGAACCTACTCACGATACACCTACTGTTGCATCATCAGCTGTTTTAGAATCGAATACTGTTTCCATTAATCGTATATATACGCCCAATGGATCTATGGATAATATAAGCCACGGTACAGTTACCGTTACTGAGGGATCAGCTAATACTGAACTTCATAATGTTGCAGTCATACTTAATGAAAATGGCGAAGAAACATCAATTAGAACATATATCATATTTATTTTATTGCCTGTGCTCATTCTTTTGATATTTATACTCCTTATTAAAGTAAACCATAATTAACTGTACTATAAAAAATACTTGTATATATATATAATTATTTAAATTAATTATATTATAATTTTGTGATATTTTTTTTTTACCTTACAGTTCACTCATTTGAGAAAGCTTTTTACTAAAAAAAAAAGGAAGAAACAAAAAAAGATGAATGAAAAAATACATGGGGTACTATTAGGACCATCTGTTGATAGGGATAAACATATCCAATTTACATATAGCTATTTTGAATATTAAATATAATGATAAATAGATATTCTTAGAAATTAATTAACAGCACTTGAATTGAGTATCAAGTGTATGTAAATTGTTAATTTTATTTATCTAATATATATTTAACTGTGTTTTTTGGTAATTTTAAATACGTTATGAAGTCATTTTGGAAACCTATTTGATAAAACCTTTATTTTTTTAGTACTGACATGTATATTTCAATGCAAAATGGAATTTTTATTACATGATATTTTATTTATCACCTTTTTAAATATAAACCTAAGATGTAATAAACATATTTTCGTTAAATGTTTGTACAATATTTTTTTTTCTATTAAACTGAACTAAAAAAAAATGTCTTACAATACCCATAAATATTTGTCTATTACATACAATTATGTAGTATTATACGATTTTAGCAGTTTGTTATAAAATGGAATATCAAGCTATAAGATGTGATAAATTGAATTTTAATAAAAAATTCAGTTCTAATATAAACAATATATCTAAACAATACAACAAAAGAGCAGATAATAAAAAATTATTTGTTATTAGCTTTAAAATACTAACTGCTTAGCGCGAAGGAGATATAAATAAATCGATTAGTAAAAAGAATGTTGAATACCAAAACTTCTGTTTAAATCATATTGTAATAAATCATAAATTAAGATTATGTCAATAAATTCAAATTAAATTATAGAGAATGCTGTGTGTTGCATATATTAAAGAGTAAAATACATTGTAACCAGAATAGGAATTTTCTAATATGTAATGTGTATAGTTTACAAAATAATGTGATGTTAAAAGAATAGAAAAATATATACTGCTACAAAATTCATGCAAACATAAAGAGAATTATATTATATATTTGTTATATATTCTTTTTTCAATATTACATTAATTTAACATATAGTATAAATGATATGAATGCAGTTATATTATGAGCATTCTTGCAGAACTCATAATACTTCTCATGAGCTAATTTATTTACTGTAATGTAAACATCTCTAAACCATTGAAAACAGTGCACAACACAATTTTTTATTCATATTACAATTTAAAATACTTCAAGGGGATATATTAATTAGGATTATGTAATACTAATACTCCTTAAATATTATTCCAGGCAAATATATATTTTAAAATTTTTTATTATTTTTACATTCATTAATGAAAATTTAAAATTTCTTTTAAATAATTATTGTAGGAATTTAAATTTTAGTAAAAATATATATATATGTATTGTTTTCTCTACTCCTTAATTGCAGATAAATGTATGTAGTCCGTATTTCAATCATCTATTTAATGGTGTTTGCATAGAATTTAAAAAAGAAGCATATAAAAAAAACTTTAATACTCCTTAAAATATTAAATTTCCTATTTTAATACGCATTTCTTTATATTTTATAGACAATTATTAAGAGGATAAGCAATATTTTTGTAAAGAAAAACAATGGAATTTTAGTACTCCTTGTGAAATGTTGAAAATATGATTTGACCACAAGAAAAGTAACTTTACATACGGAGAAAAATAAGCTTCAAATGTGGATTTATTGAATACATATATTGATGATATATGGAAAAAACTTAATGCTGATAATAAGAAAAATGGTTGTGGTTAGAAATAAATATTATAAAAAAATTCTTATATTCTTGAAAAATTTGGTAAACATATATGTTATAAGCACGCTCCTGAAAATTATACATGTGTACAAAATTTACCAAAATATGGAAATATATTAAGAAAAATATATCCAAACATTAAGGAAGTTTGATCTATGTTCTAGACTAAGAACATTACAGCACTGTCTCAGACAGTTGACTGAGGTACTATTTCCGGAACGTCCTCTAACTCAAAACTTTGAATTTTTTTCTTCACCCGAAACACTAATATTTTGTGAAGAATGTGCTTCAAAGATAAATGTAATAGCTGTTACTAATTTCTCTACCTCTTTTGGAGCATTATTTATACTTTTTTTTTTATATAGTTATAATTTAAGTGTTTCCATAGGTATACAGGAATATTCTATATTATTCGTTTTTATCAATTCACTAATGCTAATCTAATGTAATATATATTTATATTCTTACAATTTATGTATTTATATATTTATCAGTGATTTTTTGTGACATAAAAATATATTTCTTTATATACCTTTAAACAAAATTCACATATGTATATAAAGGTTATATATAAACTACGGATATCCATTAAATGTTTTACGATTATAAATTTTATATTTCTAATTTGTTTCTCATTTATTGTGTTAAGTAATATAAATAATTAATTAAAAAATAATAGCACAATAGTGTTAAAAATTTAATTCTAAGAGAAAAGCTATTAATTTATAATTTTTATTTTTGAATATTCAAAAAAAAAAAAAATAATCATTTTATAGAATGTTTTATAATATTTTACTTTATATAATAAAACACCTGCAAGAAAAATTTACTCACTATATGTATAAGCATATACTGTGTCACTGTTTAAATAATTTTGTTCTTGTTCAAAATTAACTTAATGAAACAACATATTCAATCATTAAACACTAATAGAATACATAAGAAGCATCCATTATTTTAATTATTTTGTCTTTTTCTTCCTTAATTATCCATATAAGATTTACATAATCAAGCTACATTGCTTAAGCGACCTCATCCAATTTGTTATTGATAGTTATTTCATTATTCTAACCTGAATATTAAAAATTTAAAGGTATTTTTTAAATAAGCAATTCTATTCATATTAAATTCTTTATGTATTTTTATAATATTATGGTTTCTAAAATGATAACTGTTAATAATTTAAAGTGCTATCATGTAAAAAATATTCATTCTTTATTATAATTTTAAATATCTTTTGCAAAATATAACAAAAAATTAATATTTATATTATTATGTATAAATTCCTTGCTAAAACTAACCCAATATATATTATACATTATTCTTAATCTTTTTATTTATTGAATATAGAGTATAGGATTTAAATTAATTTTCTACAATTTTTAACACATCCTATATGTTTCCTTGTATTTTTATTTTAAGTAGCATATAATTATATCTCATTATAAATAAAATTATATTTATTATCTCAAATTAAGTTATTAGTGTTTTTTTAGTTATATTTACATATATTTTTCTAATCAATAATATAATGCAAAACTTATATATGTAAGTTTTATTAATAAGTAAATAAAAAAACTTTTCTGTGTTATTATCGAGAATTACGTTATGTGAAAATTTATTCCTATTTATAAGAAAAAATTTCCATTCAAATACATGCATAATTAATACGTTTTATACTACTTTTATGTATAATAAGAATACATAAACATTTTAATAATTTAACTAATTTTAATTAAAATTGACGCATATAAAAAAAATCTACCTCTTATATAGAACGCAACGGCCTATTTATTGTCATACATAAATCTGCCTATATCTACAATTGTATTTTCATTGTAGCAATAACATAAATAGGACACAGAATATGTAACTAGTACCTATGAAAATATATTTCAGAAAAAATATTGAAAACTATAATGTTAATAAAAAAAAAAGTGCAGATAATATATTTAATATAATGATTCTAAGGATATTAGGAAAGCTTATGTTATTTAAATACATTAAAGTGTCAAAAGTATTATATAAATCGTTTCAAATAATCATATATGCAGAAAATGATCATACTCATACTGTATAATATATTTAATATGACTTATGTTGTTAAGCATTACGTATAATATATGCAAGAAACATAATAATAAATTATTAAATCGATAATAAAAAATAATCAATTACAAAAAAAAAAAAAAATTAAAAAAATTGTAGTGAAAAACTTATCCTTTTATATCCCTTATGAAATATTGTTAATACAATCAAATAAATATATCAATATAATAAATATAAATATGTTCTGGTTACATAACAATAATTCTAATATTTAAACATCTAATATGCTAATTACAGTACCTAAGGATCATTCATTAAATTCGCGAACTATTTATTAGTTTTATATTATGCATATAATGAAAATTATACCTTATAAGCACTCCTTTATATATATAACAATAGTATTACTGTAAATAAACACTGATTTGGGATAAATATATGTAAATTTATAACCCATGTGAAAATTTTTAATAAATTTTTATAATTATTCTTTTAACAATGTGCTATATAATTTTTTATCTAAATATATTATAACTTATATTTTACATTAAAAGATAATTTATGTAATGTTGTTACCATTAAATTCATTTATTTAATTAGTAAAAATATCTACAATGTTAAATGTCTAATTAATCATCTATAAAAAAATGAATTTATTTTGTTCAAAATTCTTACACATATTATATTTGTTTAAATTTAGCTTTAATTCTATTATATGCATAATTTTTGAGTGAAAATATACTTATTTGTTTATAAATTTTCGTTTCTGTGTTTTATAAAATAAGAATAGTTATATATAATTGAAAAAACATTGAATGAAAAAAAAAAATATAATGCATTAATGTTCATTTTGTAGAACCTAAATAATGTAATATCCTGTAACATAATATATATATAAATAACAAGGTAAAATTTTCACTACTTAATACATGAAAGAACTGAAAAATAACATTATAACATCATATTATATGTTGGTCTTTTTTGCTAAAATTAATGTAATATTATTTTTCTTTTTTGATATATCACTGTCAAAATAATGATGTAAAATCTATTATTAGAATCGTTTTCATTTGTTTTAGGAATGTTTTTTTTAAGCATTGTTACTTATTATAACAAAACATATTTCTTTAATTAAAAATTTTTTTATATTTTTTTTTTTTTTTAGAAAGCTCACGATAAATCAGTAATTAATATACAAAAGTTAGATAAATCATTAATTTTAAGAACAAGTCGATTATTACAGATTCACGAAATGAAAAAAAAAATTAAAAACAACCATTAAAAGAATGTTTAAATATAAAGTCTCAGGAAACGTATAATGGAAAAAATTTCTGAAGAATATAATACTTTCGTATTAATATATTTCTTCTTTAAAAAAATATTTTTTGTAGAATGCGTGAGATACATAAATTTATTAGAGCTAACAATATTAGTAAAATAATATATTATATATTTCAATCTAAAAACATAATAATTATATTTTCTGTAACTTTGTTCCTGAAATCTTTTGGATCCACTTTTATTTTTTCTTTACAATATATTATACAAAAAGCTGTATCATATTTCCCTTATGATACATTATTCAGGTTTGTGTTATCATTATTCATATACAACTATTTTCATACAATTTTATATGCTTTAATTTTCGTAAAATGGATATATAAAACTTATTTAACTTGTTATATTTACCCCCTATTAATAATATATACATAATATCATCTATTTAATAATATTTTGATGCATACATAATATCTGTGAAAAAAAAAAACAAATTACAATTCAGAAAGATTACAAAATTACATTAATGAAATAACATGTATATATACATATATAATTAAAAGAAAATTCATATTATTATGCATTTATTTAAATACCTTGCAGTACATTGAACATAATATACTATATATTTTTTATGTTGATATAATATTTTATATAAGTTATATCTGTTGTATTTTTATATATATTCAAAAAATTATGTCATCCATGAGTTTCATTGAGATGTAAAGATAATTAAAACTCTATCATAATAATTTGTTATTTTGTTTATATTATAACAAAATGTAAAATAATATAATTCATTTAAAACATGGCTCTTTTATTTATTTACAAGTTAATTCACAGTGGTATATTTGAATGGTTTAATTTGATATTTTCTTCATTTTATGTAAATCAAAAAATAGAAAAAATTATTATTTGTTTGAATTTAAATATAAAGGTGTCTAATTTGACATATTATAAAAAATATTTAACATCCTTGTTTTAACTATGTATTTCCTTTCAACATGTATATGAACATAATAAACATATATTTATCAATGTTATTAATTGTAAATCATTTTAATACGTGTTCGAGATAATAATATATTTTAAAATCTTCTAATTAAATCAATATCATAACAGAATATCATATTTTACGAGGAATTTCCTTATAATTAAAAAAATAAAGATGAGTTCGAGTATAAAACCATTTCTTTTAAATGCCTTAAATTTGATAAAAGTTCGCATCTATATTACATATATTATAATTAACGTAAAAATGATATAGATAGAAACTAAAAATTTTCAGGGAATCAATTACTGACATGTCATAATAAAAAGAAATTAATTAAAAACAAAAATGTATAACATTCAATTTCTAAGAATATGTCATATTAAATTCAAATAGTGCCTGCTTATGTACCCCCTAAAAACAAAGATACTCATAAACACAACAATCAGTTGTTTATCAATGTAATCCTTTTTTATTGAGTTTATGATATAACCTTTTTATTGGAGTATAATGTGAGTATATATGAATTACTACATATTAATGTTATATTTACATAAAATCCTAACAATTTTAATCGTATATTTATTTTTTTAACTTATAGATACATAAAAAAATGGGAAAAGGTGATAATTAAAATAATATTTTTCTAATTTAAAGAAGATAGAGTACAGAATCGATAAAAAATATTTCAGATTCCATAAAGTCATTCTTAAAAATATAATATATTTCAATAATCTTATGCTCTAATATGATATTTCACTTAATAATCCAACACATTACATAAATATAATTAAAAAGAATATACTTATAATGAAAAATATCAGGTTCTAGACAGATCTCTATTGCATTAGATAAGAATAAGAAACAAAACTATAAAATTTTCTTATTCTAATGAAATTTCAACTTTATACATATTTTTCCAATGACAATAGAGAATGTATATATAAATACTTTTTTTATTTATATAATAATTTTCACTGAATATATCTTTCTCTTAAGGAAACAATACGCGAAACATGTGTAAGAAAAAAATATATTCATAGAGAATTAATTTATAAAATACATTATGTGTAATGAGTAAAAATGTGGTATCCACTTGTATCATATGCTAATATAATAGTATAAGTAAAACGATTATTCATTGTAACAATATATTAACGAATTTATAACAATATTAATTGTTGGAACAGTAAAAATGTTAAGGTATAGTATTCTAAATTTATTGTGAAATCGTTAATTTAGAAATAATTATAATATCCTTGGGAAAATCAAAGCACATTTCCTTTACAATTATCACATATACATATTAAATATCTTTAAATTGCGCTAAGAAGAAATTAAAGAAATATAATCAATCAAATTTAATATAATTATCCTAAATTATATAAAATAGTTTATATGGTTTCAAAATTTTTAAATAATAAAAAATTCATTCAAAATAAATATTAAAAAAAAAAAAATTTAAATTATTACTATTTTTCTTACTAATAATTTATCTAATGCATAATTATGTAGTGCACTTTCTACTTTACATATGTTACATAAAAAATGTAATCGAAATCAGAGATAAAATATGTACATGAATATATATAATATGTTTCCAAAAAATTATTCTTATTATTTTTAGCACAAAGAAATATATGCAATAAGTATTCTTTTTTTACACATTTAAAGTATTTACTTTAATATTGTGAAAAAATATAATTTTAATTAGCGTAATACTAAAAATGAACAATAAATGAAGTATATCAAAAGTATAACTCAATTTTGAGTAATACATAAATAAAAAAAATAAATAAATAATTTCATTACATTAAAAAATTAATATTTTACGATTATAATATTTGACATTAAAGATAGTAGCACACCTAAAGTGTAACGTTTGAAAAAGAAATAATATATAATTATAGAATATATATTGTATTATATTTTTTTATGTACTATAATTCTAATATTTCAATTCTTCCTAAATATGATTTATCATTCATTAAAATTATTCTTAATATATATATAAGTATAATATAAAAATAAATACATACACCTATAATATTAAGTTATATTGAATTCTACATTCATGTATGACTTTATGTAATAATATATTGTGTGCCTGACGTAGACATAATTCATATAAATTGTGATGGTACATTTTAAAAGCTAATAGAATTATACATGTAACTATAAAAAAATTTCTAAAACTTAATTCATTTCCAATTTGTGCCATTTTGCATATTATTATTTTTTATATAAAAACTGAACAAATTTTGTTAGAATTAAATTTTATTCTATATAAAACAGTAATTGTTAAATCCCAAAGCAATAATTAGTTCGATAAGGTTATACAAATGGACATATGAAAAATAAAAGTGTTAATGATAAATTTGTAAAACACGTTGCCGTTTTTCTTAAATCATACCTACATAAACAAAAAATCATAAAAAAATAAATTAATGGAACTTATCTATAGTGTGCAAACATTGTAATAATTTATATAATAGGAATTTTAAAAATAATTTACATGTGTTTTATATTATTTCTTTTGAATCCTTCATTCCAGTGTATCTAATAAGAAATGTTTCTTTCACAATGTCTTTAAATTATTAATTTGAGGGCTATATTTTATAAAAAAATATACTTGCTTCTTACACTTTAAAACTATTGTTACCACAATTCATAGTTATTCAGATAGCATTAAATTATATACACATATTCATAAATAATATTTATTGTAATTTATTTTCCATTACACGATACTACTACATACTAAGGATTTATATAATAATTGTTCGTTACATCATTCATTGTTATTTTTGTAATTTACCTTTTGTTATATTAGTATTAGAATATATTATATTGTTCAGTCTAATAATTCATATAATTTTTAATATATGTTCATAATTCATTTACACTATAAAATTTTACATGCTTTCATATATTTTACTATATTCCTTTTTACATTCCCTTGCTTTCTTTTAAGTGTTATGTAATTTTGTACGGAAAATAATCGTTTATCATTAATATAGCTACTGTTTCTTTTATTATTTTTATTATAAGAAATATTTATATAAAGTAATATTAGAACTGGTAAATTATTTTTTACTTCTCAATACCTAAATAACAGTATATTAAATTATAAAATTTCACAATTTGATGTAAAATAATGCATTTTTATACAATTCACAGAATAAATAGCTTTTGTATAAATTAAATTCAAATGACACCGTAGTAATTGCTTTTCATATTTTAAATATATATAAGCAAGATGTCATCTTCAGGAGAAATACCCGAATATGTTAACTCTTAATTAAAAAAATATTAATATCAAATAAGTATATATTTCTATAATAAATATATGACAATTAGGTTATTTAAAAATGAGTTAATTATCTTTTTATAATTCATTATTTCTTCATACATTTCAGGACAAACTTTTGTTACAATCATCCCCTTCATATGTTATTTACAAGAAATTAAATGAAGATGCAGGTAATTACAAGAGTAAATGTTGTGATATATTAAACAATTCTGATTCTAATAAAAATGATATTTCTAATCTTTGTAAAAAAATAGAACGAAATGTAGAAAATTTATTTAATATTAGTAATACAATAGAATATTACTATCGTTGTCATCATTACAGACATTGGATATATGAAAATATAAAAAAAATTTTAGATAATGCTACAAATGATAAAGATAAGAAATCAATTTCCTCTAAATTTTTAGAGTTAAGAAATTGTATTATGGTCAATTACAGTGTTTACAATTGTTTATATGACTACGAAACAGATAACTTATCTAAAATAAATGATAGGGTAGAAGAAAAATATTTATATGATTACTTTTACAACTTTGATACTATAAAGACATATGAGATGTGTAATCATATGAATTCTGATAAATATGAACAATATCTTAATAAAATTATTGAATTATACAACAAGCATAAAAATACTTATAATTGCTGTAACGGTTCATGGTTGCATTCATGTTTCAGTTATTTTAAGTGTAATGATACATTTGATCCTGAAAAACTCTTGCAGAGATTAAAAATCAATGGTAAAAGAAGTTGTGAGGTGTTAGAAAAAGAAAAGATTAAAGGAAGCTCTCCTGATTCATCTACTCCTAATAAATCTGAACCAGATATTTTGAGCACATTTTATACAGGACCATGTAAGTCAATTGGTGAAGATAAATTAATATGCAGCTTACGTCAAGTGACACATAAATCACCTAAGATTCCACTTAAGCCCAGTAGGATAAATAATACAATAGATTACAAAAGTAAAATATTACCTCTATTTTCAGAATCCACTGATAACACAATATCTCAGCCAAGTGAAAATAAACATGTGACTTCTATTAGTGTATCATCATTTGTTAAACCTTTAGAAAAAAAAAGTCAATCACATAGAGATACAAATGAATTAAATCATGAAAAAAGTGATAAATATAAAGAAATAAACACCCTCCCTATTGTAACATTACCAGAAGGTTTCAAATGGAAATTTGGGGACGGATCTTTTTCATGTGATTCGAGAATTTCCCATGAGGACAAATACAAACTATGCGACTACGTGAAAAAGCTAAAAGAAGGGCTAAAAGAACTTAAACTGACTAACAGTACTAATAATGAATCATTAAATACAATATCTTCAACATTTGATAGCGTGCGTGATCAAAGTCACATAATAAATTATAATCAAGGTGAAGAATCATTGTATTCTACCTCAAATGGTGTAACATACATAGATAGTAATGGATATTTTACTAATAATCCTGAACATGAACGCGTATTATCAAACAACATATTTATCCGTGTTTTTATTGGGGGTACATTAATATTAGGGATGATTTTAGTTTTTTTCATATATTATAAAGTAAATGCAATTCTATCCATAAATGAAATATATATATATTTTATTTAAAAATGCACTGTAATATTATTCTAGTTATATCTTTTATATTTTTCATGTTCCAAATAGTTTACGCCTTTTGGAGTTTTTTTGCAAAGGAAACTGTCAAAGAAAAAAAGTCGAAAGGATAATGAACCTAGAAAAATTACACAAAAATCATCATTAAAAAATACTCCAAATAAGAATAAAAATCGTAAAAACATAGGATATAATTTTGCTTATAATTCTGGATAAAAAATATATTCTCTAATTTGAATGATATTTTAAATAAAAAATATGTGTTAAACCAATAATATTTTTTCATATATGTACTATGTAAAACTGGAAAATACATTATTTCATAAATATGATTATTAAAATAATTCTTAATTGTTTTAGAATTTTTATTATATGCAATGAATATTTGAATTTTAATCATTTTCATTATTTATTTGTTAAACTATCTATTTTTGCTATATTTATCTGCTTATATATTTGTTTGTAATCATGTATAAATTTATTGAATTAAATACATAATTTATATTTTTATATGTCGTAAAAAGTGAAATTTCCCCTAAATTTCTATCATATCAATATCATTCTTTTTAACATAGATATTCTTATTGTATAAGCATATATATGCATTAAATTAGTACAACACGTGACACTGAAAGCAACATTACATAAAAACACATTTTTGAATTTTTATTTATATTAAAAAAAAAGAATACTCCTAATTATATGTATGTATCATACGTTCTAATTAATATAATAACGAATTTCTTCTACTATTTGAATTTCACGTTAAAATTTATAGTTTCCAAAATAGTATAACTTTTACATTGACATATTAGGATTTGCTCCCGGACATAACTTTTTTTTACATACAAATAATACAAATCTTACTTTACATGATAAATTAAATTTAGGTATTCAATGAAAAATATATAACTCTATGCATTACAATATACAATTAAATAGCAATAGTTTTAGCGCATAATTATTGTGTATTATTTATTCAATAAAATAAATATACTAAGTTTTGTTTTATTGTACATTCAAAATCATTGATTTATGATATTAAGAAAATGTAATTAATAATCATTTTATGCATAAAAAAATAATAAAATATATATCAAATGGAAGAAAAGGTAATATATTCTTACATATTCAACAAGGAATAATATAAATCAGTACATATACTCTGAAATTTTTAATTTATGCCATAATGTATAATTTTATCAAAAGCATATATTATTTAACAAAACAAATCCCAAAGTATTATGAATATTACAACAGAATGAGCACAATATATAATGCATAATAATAGCTCCTTATATCACATATGTGTGTGTGCGAAAATAATGTTATATCAATTCTTGAGATATAAGGTTTTATTGCATAAATAAAGTTCAGTACATATATATGATACTTATAAATGAATAAATATGCATATATATATAATTTAAATTTCATTATAAACACACATTATAAATTATAAAACAATAAATCATTAATAAATGCTATATATCTCAATTAGATCAAATTCTCATTAATCACGATGAACCATATTATTAAGTATCTATCACTCATTACATAAAAATATGTGTATTAATAACCCCTAAAATAAGAAAATAATATTCAACATTTTTGAAGAATTATTTTTTTGTTCTCTTTGAATTCCTACCAACACTATGCTTCTATTCTGTGTTTAATAAATTATTTTATTACAATATTCAAAAATGGAATTGATTTATAGAATAAATTTCAGCTAATACATAACAAAAAAGTTTTATTTTGAACTAAATCATCACATATGGTTAAACTGAAATATAAATGCTAATCACTTTTTTAAGCATACGCTAATGATCCATGCATAAAACAATTAAAATATTTTTGTAACAAAATATATTTTTAAGCATTAATGTAATTGCATTATACGTTTGTATCTTTATTTACTATAAAGCATATTTAAAAGTAATATAATTAATATTATGACTATTAGTTCTTTTTTTACTCTGGACCCTCTACACTATATATTAGGATTATTTTATTCAAATTGGGATAAATACCAACATCAGATATTTTTAATACATATACTTTTGTTTATTATATAATTATTACTGTGTTTATACATAGAAAAATAGGAACACTATATTTTACATATGCGTTCTAGTTATAAAAAATCGAGCACATGAATCTAATATATATATAACATTTTTTGTTATATTAAAGTGATCATAAGGCATGCAAACATTTATTTCATATATTTTAATGTATAATTGTTTTTCCTTATAATAAATCCTTGTTGTTTTTTGTTATGAAATATTTATTACAATTATTTTCTTTGCAATAAGTTAATTCCTCTAACCTATTTTCTAATGATATATGTTTATAATCATAAAAAATAGACTAATTTAATATAATTATAAATTTTACAGATTATAAATATTTATTAGTTGTATTTATTTTATGATCACAATTCTATACTAAAATATAATGTATTTTTTTCTCATCCTAAACAGAGAACTGTGGTTCATTAACTCATAAAAATAACTTATATTTTTGAAGATTTACGGCATCTACATTAAACATAAAAAAGGTGTTACTATTCAGTTTTAACAAGAAAAAAGTATGTAAAAAAAAAAAATAAATAAATAAACATGTAAACATATAAACAAATAAGCAATATCAATAATAATATATGACGATTTTTAAAGCACATAAAGCATGTATATAGTAAACAAATATATTGCTTAATTATTTATTGAGCGTCAAATACTATTTTACATTAATAATTGAATTTTGGAAGGAAATTATTTATACATAATTATGTTACATCTTTAGGTGATTCCTTAACTAATTACTTAACAAAAACGTTATGAATAAATACATTAATAAATATATACAAAAAAAAAAGTTAGTGCTCTTAATTAAATATAAATATATACAACTGAAAACAAAAAAAAAAGTTGTGCTGTGATGTGTTTAATAGTATAATTCCATAAAATAGCTATAAAATGTAAAAAATTATTTCACTAAGGCTTTCTTTAAGTATAATTAAGTACTTTATTTTTAAACCAATTATATTAAATACTTATCGAATAAATCTAACGTTTGAATATAATCAAAATTAATGTAATAAGTTGAGTTTTTCATCTAAAATGTTCAACTTTTTCTCTATTAAGCACATAATTAATGATTGAAATAAGTTACTTCATATATGCATCTTATTTTCCTAATTAATTTACATGAAAAAGCATTGTTTTCACAAATTTTTATATCATCAAATCTCCACATATGTTAAAGAAAATTACTAATACTTTGATATAGTTTTCATTTGTATAAAACTATTTGAATTATTACAATATCTAGAGCATTATACCTAAGGAATTTTTTTTATATTTTCACTAAAAATTGTATTATTATTCGATATTTTATATTTTTCTAATGTAATTATTAAAACGATTTTGTTTATCCTAACGTTCGTATTCATATATAAACAAATCGTGACACATATCCTTTCCCAATCATTACACATGTCACACTTTAATATGCCTTTTAGAGCATATATATTTTAATATCTATTATTTTATGAAAAACATTAAAAAAACTAATTTTATACATTTTTGATGATACTTCCCGGTGCACAAAAATGTAGGAATTTATTAATATTCTTATATCAAAAATTTTCTCCTATATATAATATGGTTGTTCGCAAAAGGTTTCCTTCAGTTATTATAATTTTACAGCATTATTTAGTATATATCATTAGGAGAGACAAAAAATCATTTACATAAATTATACTATTTTTCCTGTACGGCATTATTTCTAAATAGACAAATAGGAAAAAAATTTCTATATATAGGTGCCCTTAAAAGGTATAGTGTATAATTTAATATCCACCGGCTATTTTTTCTAATTTTCCATATTCATTATACCTTGTATAAATATTTTCCACGAAACAATCAATATATATTATATTACAGAAAATTTGCTCCAGTATATAGAGATTCCTTTTATTCAAATAATTCAATTTTGAGCATTCAATTTTCCAAATTACCAACTTATTGATAGTAAATGGAACTGTCACTAATTCAATGCCAATTGTATGTTATTGTGACTTGTGCTTCCGTTTTGTCTAAATTTTTTTCCATAGTAATAAAATTTATGATAAATGCTTTGCAATTAATATAAAAGTATAAAACGTTTCTCAGCATAGCACATATCATATGTCCCTCTACAAACATCCCAATTGTGCTTTATAGTTGGTTATTTGTTTTCCAATACCTATTAGTAAATCACACTATTTTATTTTACAGGATTTCGGTAAAATTCTTAAAATTAAAATAAAGCATATTTGTTAAACCCTTCCACCGCTTTTTTATCATTGTATATAACAAAATAGACTTTTTCTAATAAATGTTATCCTTCAGTTTTATATTCTTCTTGAATTTCCAATAAAATTTTGTGTGTATAATATGCACGAATTTGTCAACATAATTATTACCAGATTTCCTTGTTATAAAGCACATGTGTTATAATACTACACTTTATTTCAGTATCCCTCATGAACTCTATTCATTACAACGTTTTCATAAGGCAAGTTGCTACTATTTTTACCATACATTTATATATAGATGAATCATTATTCTTCAGCTAATGTGATTAATAAATTTCATCCTCCCGTGTCTATAATTATTTTCTTTTTTAGTATAATTATACATTGATTTTACTATCTCCTTATATTATTTCATAAAGAGACACTTTTATTCTTTATTAAATTAATAATTGTAATCTCTTGCTAAGCGGTACTGGATGTTATGTCGCCTATTATATTCTCTTGGATCTTCGTCTTCATAATAATAATAATCATCGTACGATCTATCTTCGTATGACCCATACACGTGTGATCCATAACCATGAGATCCATAACCATGAGATCCATAACCATTTGATCCATAACCACGAGATCCATAACCATTTGATCCATAACCATGAGATCCATAACCATGTGATCCATCACCATATGATCCATCACCATATGATTCATCCCTATTTGATTCAATTCCGTATGATCCATCATCATATTGTCCATCATCGTATGATCCATCTGCGTATGATATATCCCTTCGTGAAACATCTTTATGTGATTTACCTCCACGATGCTGATTATAATCCTTTTTCTTCTTTCTCTTTCGACTTCCTAGCCATGATTTTGTTGGGAAATACTAATATAAGAAAAAATGTTTATT